ATATATGTATGTAAATAATCTATCTTTTACTAAATTTAACTTTATTTTGTTTTTGTCTTGCATTTTGCAATGAATAATTCTTCTTTTTTTTTGTAATATTTTTTAATGAAATTTATCATTTACTAATTGGTAATTTCATTTTTTAATTTATTTACATAATATAGTTTAAAATTATATTCAAGTTGCAGAAGAAATATACATACATAAATATGTATGTATATGTAAGCATGCACATATTTCTTATATTATTTTGTGTTAATATGTCAAATCTCACGTTTAAGAAATATTTTTTCTTACTTTGTTTTTTGACGTAGTTTTAATAGTTTTTATTTGCAATTTTTTTTCAGCTGCACTGCAACTTTAATAAAATTATTGTAAACTATATGTATCAAATTTTCAATTTCCAAACTTTACAAAATTTGAGAATTTTGTTTTATTTAAAAAGTGTTGTTGATGTTTGATATTATTGTCATTAAAGTCTTTACCAAAATTGCTGATATTTCCAGCTTTATGATAAACTATTTTGCTTTTCAAAAATCTAAATACAGAAGTGGTTTCACTACTTTTATGTCTCCTCTCTATTTGAAATATTACATAATGTGTAAATGATGTAAAATGAAAGTAAAATATTTTATTTTAACTTTATTAGAGCACTATCTCAGTTTTTAAAATAAAATTTTATATATTGATACATTTGGTGTTGCAAAATATATGCAGAATCAAAAAGTTATCTTATTCGACCAATATGAATCAACTTACTACTTTTTGGCCAAAAAATTTATTTCCACTAAAAAAACCTTCCATATCTTTTATTGTAAGCACAAAGATTATATATTTAACATGAATCATATTACTCTAATTAACAACTGCTGTCAGAATTAATAAGAGCTGCTCTTCTCTTAGAAAGCTCTTCTCTTAGAAAATTCATTTTACTTTAAAAGTACAATAACTCTGATTTAGAAAGGTCGAGTCGAGAAAATATGTATCATTTAGTTTTCAAAAAATCAAATGTTGCAACTTTAATTCATGTTTTTTAAAAAAAATAATATTTTAAATATGACAAATATTAAATGAAAAAGGGGAAAAGTCGAAATTCAATTTTCGAAATTTAAAATTTTAGTTTTCACTTTGATGTTTAAAAACAATGTTTTAACATTAATATTGTTATATTTGAAATTTTCTTTTTTAAAACTATTTTGGTTGTTATTTAAGTTTGTTTAAATAACAACCAAAAGTTTGAGAGCTGCTGCAAACTTGTATTACAACTTTTCAAAGGTTTTCCGAGTTCAAAAGAAACATAAATATTTTATACTGAAAACTAACGCCATATATAACTATCAGGCCTCCAAGTTGAAACTATTTTCCGAAATTTTGAATGGGAAAAAATTACAAAAATAATTCTTAATGTTTTATATTTTCGAAGTATGCCGATTCAAATATTTTTTCATTTTTTTTGTGAAATTTTTGAGTACTCTTTATGAATTTCATTTTATTTAGTATAGTTTAAAAAGCCATCTACATTATAATTATTATTTTTTTGCCCTTGAAGATAGAAAGCTGAAATCTTATATGTGGATAGATCTTTTATTTGTTGCAATGAAACCATACGTATTTTTCAGATTTTGCAAACGCAGGAAGGCAGTATCAATAAAAATAAAGTTGGGTCAAACCAATGGTTTGTATAGTAGCACTTTTCCCTTCAACAATATTAGTAAAAATACTGCTTTAAATACAGTCTATGTATACCTATCACACTATTAAAATTATTTTCATTCATATACAAAACTATTTCTAGGATTGCATATATTTAGGATGATGCACATATGCAGTCTTTGAAATAAAGCAAAAATTAGTACAAAGTGTGGTTAAGATAATGCTCGATTTTAAGGGTTAATTGTGTGAGTTAAGAAAAATAATAATATTTTTTAATGTCATGGAATTTACCGTTAGCTTTTTGTGTTTATAGAAATTTGAAAAAGCTTGCGGTTTCGGAAATATAAGATGTCAAAAATTCAAATTTTACAAATTTCAAGAGGCGATAACTTGAGAGGGGGTGGAGCTGGAAAAAAAAATTTTTCTAACAAAATGAACTATTTATTAATGTCTAAAAGCCCCTAAAATTTCAAGCTTCTACAGGCTAGGGTTTAGAAGAAAAACGAAATCAAAAATTTGAAAAAAATAGATTTTATATAACGGTAAATTTGAACGGCCATTTTGTTTTTCTAAAGATTAACTATAGTATACCGCGCTAGAGGAAGAAAGCCGCTGCCTTTCTGCGTTTGCAAAATTTAAAAATGCTTATGGTTTCATTGCAACAAATAGTTAGAAAAGGCCATTTTTAGGGTTTTGGGGGGGTATAACTTCTAGAGGGGGGGAGATAGGTAAAAATTTTGTTCTACAGAAATAAGTTTCTAGTAAATATCTATATGCGTACAAAATTTCAGCTTTCTATCTTCAAGGGTGTAGAAGTTTTGTAAACAGATACACGGACAGACGGACGGACGGAAGGACAGAGTGAAACTAATAAGCACTTTTTTTTCAAAAATTTTTTGGAAAAGTGCTAAAAAATCACGAATTGTCAGTATTTTCACGAATTGTTGAAGGGAAAAGTGGTACAATACAAACCATTGGTTTAACCCAACTTTATTTAATTCTACTTTTTGTTCAAAAATTTTACTTTGTACTCGTATTATAAAGGTTATCTGCACTAAAAATTGCAATTTTTTTTTTAATGCATTTTTCAGATGGAACCAACCAATTTTTTTGAAATTTAAATTTTAAATTTAATCAGTAGAGTCAAAAATATTGGTTGATTTCCTTCACACAAATAAATTCCGACACACCTTCCATTTAAACTCCATATAAATTTGGAATTTATTTTTGACGCTTGATATATATCTACGGACCATATATATGGCATTACTAAAAACTATAAGTTTTTTAATATTTTAAAATCTTATTTGATTTATCAAATTTATCAATTTGTGTCAAGCTTAAAATAAAATCTATAAATTGTGAAAAAAAATATTTAAACTTGAAATAAAATTTATTAAACTCTATTTTGTATTTCGTAACGGAACAAATTTAAGTATAATTCACTCTCATTTTTCGGTTTCACTTTAATTGAGCTATGCTAGGTGTAGAATTGCATTTTATAAGAAAAAATTAATGCTTTTTTAATTTTGAAGCAAAATATTAAAGTTGAAAAAGATAAATTAAAAACGAATTAAGTAAAAATAATATAAAAGGTGTTAATCGATATTGGAAGTTAATTTAAAAGAAGAATTAAGAAGAAGCGTGAAGTAATTCAACATAATATTTTGAAAAGATCAAAAATTGTTAAGATTGAGCAAAAAAATAATTTTCTCTAATTTTTGTACATTTAAAATGAAATCTAAAATCGTTCAAAACGAGGTAACATTTGAGGTGTGGACACAACTTTAAGAGGTGCTTAAAGTTGTGTCCTCAACTTAAGAGTTTTGTACTACAGGTAAAATTAAATGAGTACAAATATTGTAAATAAATAAATTTTGGGAAAAAATTTCAGGTTCGCACAAAACGTTTATCTAAATCTATTTTTTCAATATAACACTGAATATATATTTTTTCAATATAACATCATAAACAAATGATTTCCGAGTCTAGTAGAATTTGCGAACTTTTTTCCAATGAAATATTTTAAAAAGTAACTTGTTTTTTGTTTGTTCTGTATTGAGTGATTTTCATTCAAAAATTTTATTTTGGCATATAAATATAGTCTATTTCTAGAAATATGTATTATTTTATTTCGCGCTGAGAAAAACAGTTATTTGTGGCGAAATCAAAAGACTACAGGAGGAACTGTCTCTGGAACAGAAAATCCATTCGAAAGTAGTGAAACCAAATATAATTACAATGCATAACTATTTTAAAATGGTTTTAGTATTTCAATGAAAAGCAGTTATTATGTTAAAGAAAAATAAATAATAATATTTAAATTAAATTTATTTATGTAGAAATTTTTTAGATGGATTCGCAGACGGCGAAGTAAATAAGCGACTAGAGTGAAACTAATTAGCAAATTTTTGCTAAAAATTTTGAAAATGCGCCAAAAACAAAAGGAAATGGTATAGTGCATGGTGGTAGTACATAGCCCTTATGTATAACTAGCAAATATTTTTTAACTTATTTTATTAAATACATTAGTTTAATATATTGCTATAATTTCATAAAAACAATGGATAGGCTGCCATATATTAATATAATAAAGATACGCATCGGTATAATTTGGATATTTCCTTCAAGAATACCTTTTATAATTTTTATTAATGTTGTCAACACAAGGGTCTTGTATAAGGAAAGCATATTTTTGTGAATTTCACCCAATCTCTTTTCGTATTTTAATAATACTCTCAATAAAAATATTCTCATTGAAAAAGTAAACCCAAATACCTTGCAAGGATATTACAAATATGTATAACAGTTACAATAAAAAACAAAAAAAATAATTTAAAAAAAAACAATATTACCAAAATTTTATATTTATTTCAGTATTTGCGCATAATTACATATCGATATAGTTTCGTTAAATTTCCAAATTGAAATATGTGATATAAATCTCTCGCATGCGATACAAATTTTAGTACAGAGAAATAAATTTAAATGAAATGTAACATGCTCTATGTAATTTCTCTTTAACATAATTGTTTTTAAGTAATTGTTTCCCCTGGAATTGTAATATGTAATGTAATACAAAATGTATTTAGAGAATATTTAGGTTCTGTATTACCGTATATCAGATTTTTGTATATCAAACAGAATTATAAACGATAAAATATATAATATAACTTTCATTCTTTTTATTCCATTAAAATTATATAAATTAACATACACATATAAATACTCTGATATATGTATGTATATATAAAGGAAATATAATATGCTTTTCTCATATTATTGCACTCTTCTGTCTATTATCTGGGCTTCCGAAAATATTTGAACAGTCGTCGTGATACGTTCATTTGAAACAAAACATAAAATCGCGAACTACTCTCTGGAGTATAATTAAGGAACAAAAATATAAAAGAAAAATAATTTCAAATAAAAATATTGAAAAAGGATATAAAATTAAATTTAATATAAAAAGAAAAGAAGAAAAATTATAAAAAGAGGAAAAAGACATGTAAAAAATAATTTTTTTTTGTATCCTAAAACGAAAAAATAGAAAGAATCTCTTGTGCTTCTTTTCATTTATAAATTTTCATAATTTCATTTCTCTTATGGATAACTACAGTTTTTATAACAAAAATTTATGTAAATTATTATAATTAGCTTTTTTAAATGCGTTATACATATATACTTACAAATATTGAAATATATATATATATATAGATATATCAATACATATTTATTTTAATATCAATTTGTTTACTTCAACCTTTGACAAGAACACAATAAATTTTATGTTATTTTTAAGAGCATATAAAAGAAAAAGTCAAAAATTGATTCACATTTATAACTTTTTATATACCATTAATATATACAACTGAAAGTATATAATTATATGTATATATATATATATATATATTACTATTTGTATATTTTATATAATGGGTATATTTTTATATATATACATATGTACATGCATTTATATTTTGTCCTACTTTTTAAGCTTATTTGTTTTTAATTTTTCTTTTTTTTCCTTATCAAAAAAATCTCTAAGTTTTTATTTTTTTCTTTTTGGCAATTTAATTTGTTAATTAATTTTTTTCATTTCTTCTTTAAATATTTTTAGTAAATTTCTCTAAGCAAAAATTGTATTCTGAAAATAAACGAAACAAATTATAAACTTTATTACAAAAATTAAAAATATTCTTTTAATAAATTAAAAAAAACGAAGAGAAAAGAATTTAGTGAACAGAATTAATTTTATGTATGTATATGTACAAGTATTTTTAATAATTAAATATTTTAATTAGTTTATTTATAAATACTCTTATATTACAGAATATTAATGAATTATAAAATATTTTGTATAGTTAAGAAAGAAATAAAAATTTTTAATTTAATTTAATTAATGATGCCAATCAGATTATAATAAATTACCAACTATTCTAAATAGAAATTTTTCATACGCATACATTATAATATAAAGTTGTATTTATTTATATATTTACATACTCAATTAAAATACACGGATTGTATATAAATTTTCATCCTTATTGTGAATATCCTTTTTTTATCTTAATAATACCTGTGTTCTGCCAGAGAGAAATTTTTTTTCTTTTTTCCATAACGAGTGCACAACAAGAAAAAACAATAAAAATAGAGAAAAAAGGAAATTTCATTTTTGCTTTATTGTTTTAATAATTTCTTTTAGTTTCACTTCTTTTTCTGTATATGTATATTTTTAATGAAAAGCAAATAAAGTTATCATAAATATTATACTGTAAGCGAAATACATAAAAAACGACAGCAAAGAGCATAAGCAGCAGAAAAAAAGCAAATTTTCATTGTTAATAGAAAAAAATTATAAACATAATAGGATAACAAAAAAATTGTTAGTAACATCATCACCGTGTTACATTAAACCGACTTTGCACTCAGATTAAAAATACAAAAAAAAAATAAACACAAAAAAAAAATACTAAATTACCTATGTAAGGAATCAGATGTACTTGAAGTAAATTTGTTAAATGTATGTTGTAGGAATTTATATGTGACGGTATATACCCATAGAAATAATTAAGGAAAATAGAAAAATTCAAAAATAAAAGAAGAGAAAAAAAACAAAAAAAAGTCAGAGGAAATTAAAATAGAAAAGCAAAACAAAAAAAGGAAAAAATAACAAAATGAAATGAAATTCTTTCCTATGGAATAAAAAAAAAAGTATAATGTGAAATGATACATATTAATATGTATATAATATGTATATATGTGTGTACGTATATGTGCATAATTTAAATATAAATTAGAGTGATAACAATATAATATATGCATATGTAGATATGAGCATATAAAAAATATAAGTAAGTTGGTAAACGTTTATGAAAACAAAAATGTATTGAAGCTTAACAAAAAATAGTAAAGAAAATAACAAAAGTAATAAAACAAGAAAAAAAAAAGAAATGCGGAAATGAACTTAGAATAAGAAGTGAAAAAAAAATTTAAAGGAATACGTTATACATATACATATGTATATGTCTGCATAGCTATAAAACATAATAAAATATAAGAAAAGCAATCCTTACATCACATTTGGAGAAACAAGACGGTGGTGTTCCAACTATTTTTCATTCACTTACACGAACGCATATATCAAAGCAAAAATACAAAAAAATTAAAGGTAAGTTCCATGTATTTTGAATGTTTTTTTAATTCTTTATTTGTTACAGTTAAATTTTAATATCCATCAACCCTATCAACTATAATGTAAATTTTAAAATACTTGTTAATGTTATACTATGATGAGTTAACACCACTAATTTAATGAAAGAATAATATTTTTAGCATATTTAATGAAAAACAGTCCTTTACAATTATTATTGAATTTACAAATTTTATTGAATGCAAACCACAAATTGTAAGTAGATGTTACAAAACTTTTAACATCACTCATTGCTTCTTTTACAAAAAATCTTTAAAAAATTTGTTCTTATTTCTTTTTCATTTCACTGCTCTTGAAATATCTATTCAAAATAGAAACGAACTTAACAAATAAAGAACATTATATTTTAAAAAAATGGTGAATTTTCATTTGGAAGGTGGTTTTAAAAAAACATGGATAATGCCCATATTTGATTGCTTGTTTTTATTTCGTAGGTTTTTATTCAAACGCTCACACATGAAACTGTATGATAGGATGCAAATAAACAATCAAACAGTTTCTAATTTTTTGCAAACTAATTTCAAACTTTATTTAATGCATTTGATTTGAATTAACGCAATAGTTAGTTCGATCGATGTGCGCGAAAAGATCTTACAATTGCATATCTGTCTGAGCTCTTTAAGTATAAGTACAAAATTTAAAAAGTTCCGGATAGAAAATCAATTTCAAATTTAAAATTATTTGCCTAACATTCCTTAAAATTTAAATATTTAAGCTTGTTTCAAAAAGTAAATTGCGTACTTACTTTCGAAATTATATATGTATACACACTTTTATTGCAATAAAAACATAAAAAATTTCTACATATGTACATAAAAGTCGTTTCAAAAATGCTTATTGCATATCATTTTAAGTACATACATATATCTACACATATATTCAATACCAGAGCTAGTGTTTGTGAATGTAGTAACTTACTAAAATATAAAGCTTCTAAGAAAATCTGGTTGCAGAAGTAGAATTCCGACGAAAAGAATTTCCATCAATTTTAAAATTTAAAATAAGTTCCCAAAAAATGCTTACCTTTCGTAATTTGTTTTTTCCGACCGCATTGTGTGCAAAATAAGGTAGGTTATGTGATGGCAACAAATTTTGCATATCGAGTTTTCGGTGGGAACGGACTTCTCCATTAGGGAAGCGTAAACAAACTATTTTTAACAAACTGTCGGTCTGTCGATCTGTGTGTGATCAGATTTGTATTTGAAGTTCTTCAAAATTGATTTTGATGAAATTTTATATGTAAGACTAGTAAGACTATGGCACGAATTTATCAACTTTTGGGATATATCAGGCTTCGGAAACCGAACCTTTTAGCGCAATCATACTTTAGAAAGTATTCAACAGATTTACTTGAAATGTCAGAAATAAGCTTCGTTTGACCATCCGCGAAACCTTCTAACTTTTGGAAAAAATTAGAGATCATCAACTGAACGTTTACCACGTGCCAAATATACATTTTTGCGTATATAAAGAGAAACAATCGATAAATTCGACGTGTTAAAACAATGAATCTATAAATTATTTGGAAAGATCAGGGCTCGGAAACTGATCTGGGGGCCGATTTTACATCTTTTAACATGTCTTGAGTTCCGGTTGTTACCCAAACTAACTGGCGAGCATTTCAGGGAATTCGGGTAGCCCAAAGCTAAACTCTACTAAGAGCCAAATTTTACTTACTAAGGGCTTACTAACGCCCGAAAAATATTAAAAAAGTATTTAGCAGGCATTTTTATAATACCCTGTAACACTTTCGCTTAACTAGCCAATACATATTGTGGTTGGTTATGTGCTAATCATATCAGATTTTTTTTTTATTTTTTCAACTTTTTCTCACTTTAATTATCTTTTGATTAAGCGACAAATTAATTCTTGATTAGACAACGTAATTAATACTTTAGAGAAGAATTAAGCATACACAACATGTATGTCTTTATAAGGATAGTTTTCCATTGCAGTGTAGTAATATGTAAAAATTTTAGAAATTTTTATTGTATTACCAATATTGTTGAATACGCGTTACTTAAAGCCTAATTTTGTGTAGTTTATATAAAAATTTTTGGATATTCTAAGTAAGGTTTTGAGTAAAAAGTGTAAACATTTTTAGTTCATTCATAGAGCTTAATGGAAATAATATATCTTGAAGGCAAATATTTTTTTAAAGAATTTTCAAAAATCCTTAAGTTTTCGACAGGTTTATTTGTTCAAAACAATCACAAAATTATAAAAGCTTTTTTTCTTGGCATTATACAGATTTTAAATAAATGTGAAGTTGCTGAATTTATCTTTGAAATCAACCAATAAAAACGGTTATATGAAGCGCTGCTTAATCTATTTTTCGAATATTATTACTCTTTTACGGCATTTGGTTACGGCATACATATATTTTATTAGAGTACAGTTAGGTTCAGAGTTTCAGTATTTTTAATACTAATCAGTGCGCTAAAGTTAAGTGCAGTGTCATTTCATAATTTTTCTACTTTTCTATCAAAATTATATTTAGTTAAGGTTTCAAATTAAAAAATTTTAAATTTTATCATGATCAAAATTCGTCCTCTAAATGTTGTTAGCACTTCCAAAAAAAAATTTGAAAAAAGTACTTATTATTTTCACTTTTTCCGTCTATCCCTGGATATGTTTACAAAGCTTTTACTCCCTTGAAGATAGAAATCTAAGAATTCATACGTAAGTACATAGATCTTTACTGGAAACTGTAATAATTTTAGATAAAACAATGTTTCAGGTTTTTAAATCACGCAAACGAAAAAAGTAGTGGCTAACATCTTCTATCGCGGTATATTTAAAATTTAAAAAAACGAAATGGCCTTTAAAACTTACCGTTACCCAAATATCTTATGTGTTTAACGAAGTAAAAATCAATGAACAAAAATATTATTAAACACACTTACATTTTTTATTTCTTAGTTAAAATTTCCTTTACTTTATTTCAACTTAGAAGGGTGATTTTAACATAATTTTTTGGTCTTTATAATTTATATCTTCTCGACTAGTTTTCGTATAAAATTTATTGTTCTTTTTGAAAGAATACTATCCAGCCTTCATCTATCATTTTAGTAAGAAAACCTTTCTAAAATAAAGGCCATCTAGCATTAAACAATTTCTTAAGTTGAAACGCGGCAGTGGTTTATAAAAATCTCAAAAGGGAAAATAACTTAGGAGTAGTAGTACTTCTGACATAATATATAAGTCGTTTCAAAAATTAACGTTTAGTATTTCACCTTTTAAGTTTTGTTAACTATGTTATAATAAGTGGAAATATTATGAAAACTTGATGAAAATAGTTAAAATAAATTTTGAGCCAAAGTCGACGAAAACCAACTAATTGTGAGTAATTATACAACATATATAACTTAATAAAACTGATCACACCTACAGAATAACAATTTGACATATCAAAATAAAAAAAAACGAAGACATTTAGATGTTATTCATTCACTGAACTATGAAGATCGTATAGATGTCTTCAATATAAAACCTTGAACGACAATAACTTTATTGTATCACACTTATCTAGCTCGAAGAGTCATAGCATAATTTACATTTCGCATTACCGTCTTTCGATATTTCGCTATTCTATAGATGCCAAATATTTCCAAATACGCATCTAGAACGAAATAGAAAAATAGAACTGGCGAAGTAAATGTAGATCTCTTTCAAAGAAAATAATTATGTTACTTATACAATTGAAAAATATGAAGAAAATTTTTCGAAATGGAAACTCATACGAATTCATGTATGTTAAGTTAAATTTTAGATATTATTAAGTAGAAGAAAAAAATTTAATAATGAATAATTTTTTATTTTTGCCTTATGTAATTCAAAAGTTGCACTTAAACATTCCACCAAATGTTTCCAATTTCAATAATCGAAAATGCAAAAAAAAATGTTGCACAATTTATTCTAATTACTTTGTTTTTCTTGTGAACAATATGGGTACATACTTATATGAAATGGGTTTTTTTTCTATAAAAGAAAAGAAGAGATTCAATTTATTAATGTAATATATTGTGTGTATTTTCATTTTATAAGAAGAATATATAAAAAAAGGATAACATGCATACCAATATGTGATGTATCTAAAGCCTTGATATAGATATTTCCATTTTTGAACTTTCACAAGCAATTTATAAAAAAAAATTCAATTGGAAGTGCATTAAAGTCAACAATCTAAAAAAATAAAAATAAAAATCAATAGAAGTCAATAAAAGCTCAATGGAAAAGGGATTTGAGAAATAATCTCCTATTGATATTTCAAAGAGTTTGAGTGACATAAATCATGAAACAGTTAACAAAAGATTTACACAGACAATTGTAAATAAAAAATCAACAACAAAAAAAATTAAATATGTTCAGTTTAGGGTTAAATTTATACTCGCGTTCATGAAAAAGGATAAATTTAATCATTTTAATTGAAAACATGTAATAATTTTTAAAAATTATATTGAAAACAAAAATAAAATACTTTTCACGACACATTCAACTCGAGCACTTAATCCTTAATTGATTACTTATCAAAAGCCTTTAAGCAAGATTTATTGCATTTGAACTTTAGTGTGAGTATTTTTTACCAATTTTCCCCATGCTTTCTAAAGTTTACTTCTTCTATTTTAATTACCGAAATTTTAACTTGATTCATTATGTTTGTAAATTATATAATTAAATTATAATCATCCATTGCAGAAGTAAAACTATTTTAAACTCTTTAAATCCGCTTGCAAATGTTAAAAAAATTTACCTCAAATGCTTTTCTAAAATAATAATATTAAAAATTACGTTCAAGAGTACAACCTGTTAAGGAGTTTTGGAAATCGTGATTAAACCAAAACTTGTCATCCAAAAAAATTTTTTTCACTGGATAAGATTTTAACCAAAAATTGTAAATTTAAACCAAAAAGTTTCTGTTTATTTATTTAAAGAAAAAAGTTTATAATTTAATACAA